ATTAGGTTTACCTGACAATTGATCCTCTCGCGCATGCATTACGTTTGACTTCTGTGTTCCCATCAGCCTGTCCTTTCGTTCACGCTTTTCTTTGTAAATTTCTCCAAAGGGAAATCGCCCTTGGCAGAGTGCAGACAAAGTAGAAAAGAAATTAGCAAGGCAATCTAAGTACAACAGAAAAGTCGAATCTCTCTGCAAACTTTTGTGTGATCGCCTTGCCAACACAGCCACGTTTCTGATTGAAACCGTAGAATTTAAGGTATGAAAACGTTTTTTTCTTTAAATGAACTGGACATTGAATAGAGAATTATGAAGTCATAACCTTATGATTTAAAGTTCGAGCATTTGGACGCTAGATTGAGACTCAGAAGCATTTCCTTGTCATGGCGTGTTTACGCGAAAGAGGTTTTATTCTCGATTAGTTTTTTTGTCTTGGTCTTAAAGCATGTATCAAAGTTATTTGGTAACTTTTTTTAACGTTGTCAATATATGGCTTCAGTCTTCAGGAGGTGGGTACAAAGACCGGTTGGTGTCATTTGGTGGGAAAGTTGTAGGAGTCGTTAGGTTCTGCAGTTTTGTCTCCCAAGTGATGGTTTACTTTTTGAAGAGTAACTCGCTAACCCAAGACGAAGTTAGAAATCTGCCGGTGATAACAACATTTGGGGTGAGTATAACAATATTCTTTTCCTCCAGAGAGCAATGAACACACACACACACACACACACACGCACACACGCACGCACGCACACACACACGCACACACACACAGACACACACACAGACACACACACACAGACACACACACACAGACACACTCACAGACACACACACAGACAGACACACAGACACACAGACAGACAGACAGACAGACAGACATCTTTATTTTACGAGGGTAACATATAAACTATCAAGTTTTCTAACATATGGCCCTCACATATATACACAGTACATTTTACAGTTACAATTAATTGTACATTACAGATTTTAATATAATTCATACACACATAAAAAATATAATATGACATTCATAAAAAACACGAATCATTTTGAATAGCAATTACAATCAAGATAGGTAGTATAGAGGAGGAAGCAAGTTGCTTGAGATGCGTCTCAAGACCACTGAAAAGAGTAGCGACTGTGTAGGCGAAGGTACGCTTACTAGAGTTGGTGCGAGGTTTAGGGAGAGATAGATTGCAAGATGCTGCGCCTCTTGTTGAATACCGGGTTTGCACAGAAGATAGAAAGCTAAAGCTGCGACGTAAACAAGATGGAGAGTCAGGATTCAGAACAGGGTTTTTATTGCCAGTTGTATGGTCTCTTCCCTGATAAATTAGCTAGAAGATTAGATGCCTGTTAGATACGAGATAATAGTTAGCCAACAAAGAGAACAGCGCCGGTTTTTCAGAGCACAGCTCAATCCAACAAACGTGATTGAAAGAAAAGACGGCCAAACGTCATCGGTAAAAAACTGTGTGGCGAGTAGGCTCGTGCACAAGACGTAAAAAAGGGCTAAAACCAGACAGCAAGGGTTATGATAATTAACTTTAAGTGAATTTTACCGTCCCAACTCCTGTGCCATGTTAAATAAGCCATTTATCTGAAAAAAGTGTGATACGTCGTTCAATTCGAAGCTTCAACGTCTCCTCGGGCATTATGAACTTTTGAAGATTGGTTTTTTCAAATTCCCGCACCCTGAGGCAAAAGTTGTATTCAAATGCCCCACCCAATTTTTTTTGTAAAAGGCAAAATCAGCGACCGTGAATTTCCACCAATTTGCCAAGCTTTAAAACCTAGACCTTGCAGAATTTTCCTTTTCAGTCATTTTCACGCGAAAGTGAGCTATTTACCTCAACACCTCCATATTTAAAGATATGACACTTGTATTCCGCTGGAAAGACTTGGACATTTCCGGTTCAAATTCCGCACCCCCCCACCCTGGGCATGGACACTGTCAAATGCCCGTGGCTTGCCCGGTGGGGGATGTTTAAGCTTTGAATTGATCGGCGCATAGTATCCCGCACTGTGAGTGGCGAAACCCATTGTGTCACTTTTAGATCAAAATTTTATAAAAGTTTCATAGATTTTTCAAACACTTCTGTCCAAGGTTACAGTAGAGTTCGTGTTTACAGAAAGAAGACAGTAAAATTCTTTCCGTCCTTCCGTCGTAACCCTACCGCCGCCACAAGACTGCATCGTTTGAAAATTAGTTACTTAAATTTTGTTATTGTTATTTCTACAGACTTTGTTGAAGAAGGTTGCCCACAGTGTCAGGGCAATTTCAGGATTCAATGAGGTGGATTTGATAACAAGAATGGAAGTCTGCGAGGGTGTAGTCTCTGAGCTAGAAAAGATGTTCACCATTCTACGGGTAGCTATACTCTACATCTTTTTATTTCTTAACTATTTCTTTCTTGAGAAACATCTCTGTCATTCAGTAACCCCTTTATGCCAAAGTTCTGACCAAGACCACTAAGTGTATCTTGATTTGTTCGTATACATGCGTATGTCTTGCAAATGTGCGTCTTTTTGTGCTTGCAGACTGATGATGATTTTTCCGGAGAATTTTTTGGAACATTGTTACGAGAGATGACGCCTGAATCACTTATAAGGGAGCTAATAGCTATTTATAATGGAGAGGTAAAAGATTTGAGCTGTCTTAATGAAGGCTTTTCAGTAAATGTAAAGCGTTGCTTACAATTAGGTGAACTTGACGACTGTTCAGAGGGACAAATTAGAAAGAAGGTATTGAAGGAAGGAATAGACTGGTTCATATTAACTGCTACTACTTGCCTGTTAGGTAAATCATCAGCTATCAAAAGCATTGAATCTATCGAGACGATACTTTTTTTTGGTTTTGAAGTCACTGGATCGTGGAGGAAAATGGCCCGCAAGTAATTGATTGGACACGGAATCGTATAATCCTTTTAATTGGTTTTATTTGATCTACAAAAAATAATACATAATTTCTGAGCGATCTAACAGCAAGCGATTCCTGACAATTTCATGCTGGGAAACGGAATGTTGATACTAAAATGCCAACTGATTACAAACACACTACTCACTTCTTTGGCGCAATCCAATCAAAACTCCAGTACCAAGAAACAGGTTAGAAAAATTCTCTCAGGACACTTCAGGTAGCGAGGTAGAAAAGGGACTGATCGCTATCGAGCGCGTGTTACGGCAAACTGTCACATTAACTCAAAGGTCAGCCTTAAGCGATTACGCAATGGGCTGTAAATCACGTGGTCAATTACTAATTAAATGTTAACAAACGGATTAATAAATTAAAATATAATTGACTTTTGATCGACGAAACAGTCACCTCGATGTTACCAACTCTTTCTTAATATGCAAATGAACCCCTCTCCAACTTTTGTTGCAACCTCAGTATTTTTATTATTTTGGAAGACTGTTTATCTTTATGCTGTAAACGAACGGTTGCCTTTCAGGGTCACTACGTCATCCGAGGAATTTGATAAACGGGACGCGCGTGCGTGACACTTACTCATCTATCTCCCTCGAAGAAGTAATAGCATTTACTTTCCATCAATTTCCTTACATTTTCCAACAAACAAGTGGGGAAAAAGGGAACATCAGCTCTGTTAGGTGTTAAATTTATTAGCGATAGAATTTACAGCTGTTAGAAGGGAAAATTAAGAATAGTTTCCTAATTGGTTGGTTGAAAGTTAACTGTTTGTTTCTATCACCCCTTTTCACAGTGGGGACAGTCTGTGCTCGATAATTGTTCTCGACTGGATGTCACAGGGAAGAATTTCCTCAACCAAAGTGCAAGTATGACTTTACCTGGCGAGGTAGATGGTCTTGATGATTTTGAGTCTGAAGTTGCTTCTAGTGAGGAGTGCAAAGCAACACAAAAGACTCATAGTCAGCCGCAGAAGAAAAGCAGTAAATCTGGTGAGATCGCAGTCATTTTTCTAGTCTTCAATTTTTTGTCGAGGTATGATTCTGTTTATTATTACACGACTCGGGCAGTCAGAGGGCCAATAACTAAAATCAACCAATCAAAATGCTCTATTGCCGGTCAATATTCTCTCAGTATTGGACCGGGCACTGTCCCGAATGATACCGCACTTGTGTCCCTTTGAACTTCAGTCGTATAATAAATCTCTTATTAACCAAGCTTGCTCGGGACCGTACTGGAAGAATATCGGCCCTCGGTCTTTTTTGTACGGACCTCGCTGCGCTCGGTCAGTACTGTCAAGACCTCAGGCCGATATTCTCCCAGTACGGCCCTCGCGCTTGGTTAATAGGATATATGTAATCATGGACTCATCGTTAAAACATTCTTCACAGTTCATTCAACATTGCGAAACTGTTGTGCAAAGTTTCTCTGTTGCTGGTCCATGCATGGGTTTGACGAGTTCGCCGTATGCTCTGCTGACGCTCTTATGAAATACGTCAAAGGAAAGGTTGTGGAATTCTTGGATTCAGAGGTAAAGGCCTCAATTTTCTTAAAAACTTAAATCACCCTGTAATGAGTTCTTTTTAACTTACCGGGTAATATATACTTTATTCTGAAACACGAGATTTTAACTGATTTGACTTAATGCACCTAGTTTTGAAAACACGCGTAAATAGGCCTCGCATAATCTTTCTTGTAATAGCTGTGCATTTGGTTGTAAATCGAAAGTACAGACAGAAAAGAGAACGAATCATTCTTGAGCAAGCCAATGTATAAAGTGATGTTATATTTTTACTTTTCTGTGTTCTAATTTGTACATTTGTAACAAAGTGCAGTTTATAAGTACATTCCTATAAGAGTTGATAACGTATTTTCGTGTTCCTCCTCTCAAATTAGGAGTTGAGGGTTTCTGAAGAAGGAGATCTTAAGCTGGTAAGTATTCGGGTGTAAAACAATTGAAATTACTTCAGGCAGACACCCTTACAACAAGTTGAAATTGTCATATAGGTTTCGAAAAATTGTGAGCCAGGCGTAGCTGAAAGCAGTTTAGAGTGTGAGCAAAATTTACCCTGTCTATTTTGTGCTCGCATATTAATTTTGAACGTTGTTTTGTTTTTTATAGTATTTGAATGTAGCTTTTGCCATGGCATCCAGCAGTAATCTCTTAGTGGGTCCACATTTGAAAGTTCTATTGGAAGTATTCAGGTAGTTGTTTCATTTAACTAATTAACAAGACTAATGAAAACACTGTCCAGAAAGATAAGTTAGAGATACCTCTTCGAAAAAGTCAGGTCCACTGTATGATTTATGGTCTTTTATTACATCTCGCAGCGCCCGTGGGCAAGATGAAGCGAATCCTGTGTTCTAATTGGCTACCCGAGCGGGCAAGATGGGCCCATCTTGCCTGCTCGGGATTGCCCGCATTGATCCCGCGCATGAAAAAATAGAAATAGAACTACGTTTGTAATTCTTGGACAATTTCGGCAATGGAAACGTAAAAGGCGCCAGCAGATAGTCAAACCAAAGAAAACAGAAACGACTCTCGTGAGTTTGTTCTGCTACAAACTCAGCTGGCTTTCTTTCCCGGCTCTCGAAGTAAACAAGTCAATACTTAATTCTTAATAAAGCGAC